CGACCTCAACAATAGCGGCATGGAGTTGCTGCGGTTTCAGGCAGACAATGGACTGTCTATTATGAACTCCTTCTTCGAGCATCGAAGACCAGGTATATAAAAAACATGGTGCTCAAAAATCTATTATTAGTTTGATAAGTGTCGTGTGACTTACGGCGTTGTGCAATGGATGTTCGCTTTCAGAGAGACGCAGAGCTGTCAGTCGATTATCACCATATTGTCTGCATGCTACGCTCTGAGTGATGGAGTACTATGCAAAGATTTGGCGGAAAAAGCAACCGCAGAATCAGGTGGAGAACACTCTTTCTGTGGAACATATGAGGGCAGAATTTGCAAACAACGGTCACATGCCGGATTTAACAAAACCCGGGGATGACAGATAATGGGAAAACCGAGAGGAATCTCTTTAAGAGCGGTTTATTCGAGCTGTCACTGAATACAGCAGTTTCAAATGGGTTAGCCTGTCGCCTGAGAGTTAAAGCGAACTTCCTGGTGGACAATAGATATTCAACTGGCTGTCAACAAGAAGAAGGATTTTCAACTCGAATGAAGCACGAAGAAGCGTGTGCTCAAGGCATCAGCAAAGTGAATAACCAAAGCGAAATCTTATTCCTGGGAATAAGGAATATTTGTTGAGGTGCTGGACTCGAATTTCTAGACGGCAAACAAAGTGTTTTGACAGACAATCCACCGCCTAAGCGGTGCAATGAAAGGCAATCTAAGTGTTCTTAAAAGACAAATCCGGATGTCATCTTGCCAACGGTGAAGACATCGATTGAAGATGAAACGAGTACTTTGAGGAATTATATAACGACGAGTAAGCGCAGGAAGACTCGCCTGAAACCTTTCAATATGAAATCGCAGGAGTTTCACTTTCAGATATGCCGTATAAAGCTTGAAAAGTAGCAAGGTTTCTGGAATCGATGAAATCTGATCGAAAGTGCTTACATCCATAAGCGAACAAGGCATGTTGTAGTTAGCACGTATCTGCCAGTCTGCAATATCTGCATGGAAGACGCCGGTACAGCAAAGAACTGGGATGGCAGTACCCTTGTTCAAGAAGGAAGATTATAGGGAATGCTTTCATTATTCGAGAGCTTAACTGAGCTTCTTAAGAGACGTCTACGTAGTTGTGTTAGAGAGGAGGAGCAGCGGAATAACTGACTTTAAAATCAGATCAAAGAATTCTGGCCGCTGACAAGATCTTCGCCTTGTTCCAGATCGTTCAGAAATTTGGGGAGTTCGCCCATCGGGCATGTGCTTGGCCGACCTAGAGAAAGCCTACACCGGATCCCGCGCAACAAACTATCGGCATGCCTGCAAAGATGTGGAATCGATTGCTAGTTATTACGAACAATCCATTTAGCATATCTTAATGCAGGTTATGCCTGTTATGTTGCTGTTTGGTCATGACCATG